CCGCTCCTCTTGCACAACGCTCGAATTCTGCACCTTCGAACTTTCATTTTTAACCTGTCTCTCGTATGTTAATCTAGGATCAACGATCGGCACGAATCCTCCTTGTCCACGGGGCAAAGGCACGAAACCTCCTCTGTGGATTTCCGGTTCGGTAGGTGGAAAAGTTCTGTAACGACCTCTTCCAGGTCTGCCCGACGAGTTTTTCCTCTCCGATTTTCTACCGGAATTCCCCCACAGATTGAAGTTCAGGCTTGGCAAAGGCACACCGAAAAAGGTGAAACCAGAACTGCTAGGCGAAGGAGGCATTGCGGTAGCTTTTTTCATCGGGACAGTGTTGTTCAGCACAGGTGGAATCCTTTCTAGCGTAGGTGCTGTGTTTGCAGTAATCGTTGGTACCGTGGTTGTAACTTTAATCGAAGTGTACGTTACGTTAGACGTGTAATTTTTACTGTCCTGATAATCAGGATAGTCGGGGTAGAAGTAATCAGCGTCCTGAGCATTCGCAGGATTTCTAGTCGACGAATCTTTCAGGTTCATTCGAAGTGGTACCATCTCTGTTGCTCCGTACACTAATGGACAATCGGTGAAAGTCGGGATATTATTTTTACAAATAATTTCGACGAATTTTTACTTACTAGAAGAGGAGACTGGATATGGCGCAGCGTCGATTATTTCAGCCTCGCATCCAGGATGAATTGGATCAATTTGCCTCTCTCGTTGACAGTCCTGTCTCGACAATCGAATTTCTTTGAACAAAGATCCATCTGCGCATCTAGGACCTTCCGAGGAAGCTTGCTGCAGCCATCCTCTCAGCCATAACATTCCGCAGGAGCAAGAAAGTGGATTACCTGTTCGAGAATAAAATTATCCTTCGGCAAAGAGGAAAGGAGAGATATATCTGACGAGTTCCGAGAGAAAATTCGCTCGATTACCATCGATATCTAAGACAGCGATGTTCGATCGTAATCTCTTGAACGCCGTTTCCGAAACGGAAGCCATCCGGTTGCTTCTCAAGCTGAGAACACGAAGCCTGGGCATTTCGTCGAACGGCGAACCGTGGATCGCGCAGATCCGATTGTTGTCCATCTGTATGTAAAACGATCCGTTATCTCGGTTAATCAGCGATGCTGGTATACAAATAATTATGCTCTGCTAGCATAACGAGCGGCCTCGCACCACGGTTCGTGGAGAAGTTTCACTCTCGACGAGAAAGTATTCCCCCGTTATTACTAAAGACCATCCCCACCCATTGGCCATTTTTCATTCTTTGTTCGCGTTTAATACGTCCGTTACGAAAAATCGCCAGCTCTTATCGTAACTCGTCCATTCATTTTCACTCTCGAACGTCGTTTCTTTTTCCTTCGTTCGAAAGAGAGTTAACAGTTTTAATTAACGATCCTCGTCGGATAGACGATCCGCTACTCACTTTTAACTCGACCAGCCATTCCATCGATGCTAAACTGTTGCTGGACACCCTGGACAATCGGTTGTTGCTCAAATCCAGAACCTCCAGGGAACGTAAGCTCTCCAAGCCGACGTAATCCAACGCGGGTAAATGATTGTGGCTTAAATTGAGGAAAAGAAGGTGAGGCACGTTAATGAACGCGTTGCCGGCGATTTCCTGGATACGATTTTCTTGCAGCTCTGTACTCTGCAGTAGAGGCAGCTCGGTGAAAGCTCCGCTTGGAATTATCTGAGTATTTCCAGATTATCACAGATACAATCATTTTTCTTGAATAGAAAAATTAAACGGAGAAATTTTTTGTGTATTTTTACTACCTGTAGACGATTTTTCCCAAGTCTAATTGCCTGCAATTCAGGCAAAGCTCTGATAGCGTTTCGTTCGATGATCCGTAGATCGTTGTTCTCCAAATCGATCAATGTTAATCGTGGCAGACCGTCGAACGCGCCCTCGCGCAACTCACGGATACGATTCCTGACAAGTTTAAGCTCGAGCAAGGCCGATAGGCTGCTCAGTGTTTCCGGCGACAGGATGTTCAGCTTGTTGAAGCTCAAGTCGAGTACCTGAAGAGCTGTTAGGCCGTGCAACGATCCGGGTAACTCGGTCAAAGTATTGTGCGAAGCGTACAGTTCACGAAGGTCTCTGTAATTAACGTCGTTTCCTCCCTTTGATATCGAGTCGTCGATAGAAACGACAGATCCTATCCTACTTGGATCGATCTGTCTGCTTAAACGTAGCGTTTCTAGCTTATCGAGAAATTTCTATCGAGATACCGAGTTGAACGAAGATCTTCCAAGATGTTCGAATTCTTCAAAAAATTGGAGATCTTCTGTTCTTTCTTTCTCGTGAAAATTTAAAATTCCCTTAGGAACTAGCGGGAAATGAACGACAGTGCAAGATGGTGCCACATCGCAAGTAGGAGGGGACATTCTAACTTGCTGGCACGAAGAACTTTCTAGGTACCAATTTGCCATGTGACGCAACCAAATAACCAAGAGTGAAACTGCTTTTCTACTTGCGTGCTAACGTGCAAAAAACTGGCGCTTCTTTATAATTCTAAGAAACGAGAATTTCAAGAAATTGACAAAAAAATAATAAAAAGGAAATTACGTCGATTAGGTATTACCTAGTGTTGGAGAATGTTGCATGAGGTATCTGAGCAACGTTGTTTCTACTCAGATCCAGTCTCTGCAGTCTAACGTTCTCCTGAAAGATATCTGGTCGGAGAACCTCCAAACGATTTCCCCTTAAGTTCAGATCCATCAGCGATCTCAGCGGCCTGAAACTTCTTCCATGAAGAGTGACTAGTCGATTGTATCTCAGGTCCAGTTGCTCCAGTCTCGATAAACCGTCGAAAGATCCATCCTCCAGAAGTCTAAGAGAGTTGTAACCAAAGTTCAACTTCCTCAAGTTTGGTAAATCGGTCAGGCTGCCAGGTGATAATCTCTCTATCCCGTTTGCGCTGAGATCCAAGGATCTGAGAACCGGTAGATCTAAATCTTGCGAAGATACAGCTGGTAGAACGACGATTCGATTCATAGGCATGTGCAAGTGTTCGATGTTTCTCGGTAGACCGGGAACAATCTCGAGCATTCGATTCCAGCCGACGTCTAATTCGTAAAGATTGGTCAAATGATGAAAGGTGAGCGGATGGAGGACGGAGAGAGCGTTTCCAGAGATGTTGACGTGCTCCAAATCAGGCGTGCCTAAGAACGAATCAGGCTCTATGAGGCCAACTGCGTTTCCACCCATGTCCAATCTTCTCAAACTTGGTAAATTCGCTAACAATCGAGGTTCTACGTGGCGAAAGTAATTTTCCGAAAGATCCAACCCCTGAAACGAGTAATTCAACGCGATTAAGCGAGAATCGAAGCGACAGAGAGAGATTTTCAGCGTCGAACACTTACCTTCAACGCTGGTAAGTTCCAGAACGGCGCCTCCAATAAGTTGGACAAAGAATTATTCCTCAATCTTAGTTCTCTGAGAGCGGGCATCGCGGTGAAGGTCTCCCTTTGCAAAAAGGCCACTCTATTGTGATCAAGGTGAAGCCTCTCCAACGTCAGATGACCCCTCAACGATCCAAATGGTATCTCCTCGATCTGATTGTGACTGACGTCGAGAAACTTCAATCTAGGCAATGCTTCCATGACGGATCTTAATTCGGTTACGTGGCTGAGATCGTTGTTGATCAGCCACATCTCCTCCAGGATGTTTCCAGGTCTACGCGGGAAGAATTCAGGATGTATACGGTGTATCAGATTGTGATTAAGATCCACGGTCTTCAAGGCTGGCATTCTTTGAAATGCTCCAGCGAACACCTCGGTAATATGATTCCTCGATAAGTACAAACGAGAGAGAACAGGCAGATCCGTGAAAGCTCCCTCGCCAAGGCGATTCACGCGATTTCTGTCCAAACGTATCACCGAGAGGGAAGGTAGATCCATGCAAGCACGACCGATCATTCCCGCGTCGACTATGGAATTTCCAACGAGAGCGACCTCCTTCAATTCCGGCAGATCGATCAACGCTCGAGGATGAACCCAGTGAATCCCGCAGTCGGTGATGTTCACCAACTCAAGTCGCGGCAATCCTCGAAAGAGACCAGCTTCCAGGCGTATCAAACGTGGACTACCGAACATGTGGAGTTGCTCCAAATTCGGTAGATCACGGAAATTTCTCGGTGCTAATTCCAACAGAGCTGGAGTATTGATCTGGAGGTATCGGAGTTTCGGTAATCCTGAGAATTTCGGGAGTTTCTTCATCACTCTGCTCTGCAGTGTCACCGCTTCGAGACCTTGAAGATTCTCGAGGCTGTCCACTGGCAAAGAGCGCAAATCCGGTTCCACGACGAATAACTCTAAGAGAGAATCGTGCAGACCCTCTAACCATCCTGACGACACTCTCTCGAGGCGATTATTTCGAAGCATTAAGCGAAGAACGCGCAGCGTAGCGAACACTTTGCCTGGTAGGCTGGGTAAATTATTGTTCTCCAAAATCAATTCGTCTACAGGTCGGTCCAAGTAATGACTCACCGCTTTCAAACCTTCGAGGACTTTCGGTAATTCGCTATGACTGCACCTATCGGGAAGAACGGGAATAATTTTCATACTTTGGCGAGTTTCTCGCGTGCTATCACTTGCCATATCTGAATCTCCATGTCACGAGTGGAACATCTGCAAGGTAGAATCCTCTCCTGAGTAGGACATCCATACTCTGAGACTAACTGGGCGCTGACACTGACACAAAAGAGTGCCAGGAAGCAGCCAGTTGTTATAAAGAGGCCTCCACCCGGCGGTCGTTTAATCATCGCGCATTTGGACCTTGGTCTACGACCTTAAATACCAGTCCCGCATTTTCTGCAAAAATTGTTCCAATCTACACCGATCCAACCAACCGTCGAAATCCCTCTGTCTCCCTGCCTTTCTTCTCCCTCTTTTCTTACTCTTAATTTACAAACCGTGACACGTGTCACAGCGCGTCAGATTCTTTTTCTCAAGGCTAAATTGAGCACGATCATCGGGTGTTAAACAAACCCTCCGAGTGTCACGGTGTTTTCCATGGTTAAAACACCAGGTAACGCACGTGTGTATGCGTATACACGTCTACACGTCACGGTCGTAGACGACAAAATTAATGCTTCGTACCGTAAGCAAAAGCTAAAGACCGCCAGGACAATCTTTCCCCGTAATAATTACCGTCGCCTCGAGCTTCGCGACACGCGTTCAAATTATATTTCTCCTGATAAAAACGATCTTTCTTTCTTTATTTTTTCGTTGATCGTGACTAACAGTATACACGTAGATCCTCGACAAGTAGAGCGCTCTGAGGATTGCAAAACGAGGTACAGTAGGACGAGGTAGGACTCGAAGTAGGAGAATTAAGTTTAATTAGTGGAATCGATACGGAAGGGAAAAGAGTCAGTTTTTTACTCTATCAGATAGAATGAAGACAAAGGTGTTCCTCGAGGATGGTGTCACGGGTGACCACGTGTGTTTCATAACGCGTCTTCCGTAAGTAGGAACAATCGTACACGGCCTGGAAATTCATTCGGACATAAAGAATGCCGATATCGTGTGGTCACTGATAGAACAAAACCTATTTAATTGAACGACTAATTTACACGTATGCGTGTTTTGCCGTAGACTTAAGGGAGCATGTCAGAACTTAGGTAATACAGGTCGCTACACTCGCGTGAACTGCATTTGCATTGAACTGTTGCTCTAGCTGATCGTTGGGAAATCGTTTTTCGCGTTGTTCGGTGTTAGTTTGTTAGAACTAACCAATTTGCTATTTCATTCGACGACAAACGGATCGAACAATCGCGGTATTTCGCGTGATTCCAGTTAATTTTACGAATCGCACAATCGTTTCGTCGTGTACCATCTATAGATTATCGGGTACAATGTGCACAATTGATAGAGGTGCAGCAGGTCTTCCATTGTGATCGTGATTGATCGTAACTGTGATCGAACCACGGTTATCGTATATGATCCCAGTGAAAGTGATATATTCCTTCGTTCGTTTTCTCTCTGACCAAGTTCAACCACACGAGATTATGCAACCTCTCAATCAGAGCAATTCTATTTTCTTCGAATTTTACTATTGATCGCGAGAAAAGAAAGTTACACTTGCAGTTCTTTAAGTGTCTCTAATTCGACCCCTTTGTATAGCATTGGATCGTTCCTACCTTTCGATTCAGCCAAACTCGTCGAAAATTCGAATTTATTCCTCGGCGAGATTGTTCCTGTTGCTCGTGAAACTAGGTGATTAAGTCAAACACTGATCGACGATGAATTAGCGACGGAGCACGACGCGTTTTCGAGCGTTCCACCGAAAAGCAAGAGTCCTGGGTGCTCTCGTTACGAGTTTGCCACCGACTAACTAGACGAAGAAGTTTTGTGCAAAGCGTGCTGATGCACAAAGTCGAGGGGAGAAGATGACTGTGGCGTGGGTGATGGCGAGCGGGACGAAAAGAGAATTGCGAAGTGCTGTGTCTAACCACCGTGAAGGCACGCTTCCAGGAAATTCTTCCCTTTCCACCGAATCTTTGGAAAATAAAAAAAGAAAGAAAATTGGTGACAGTGAGAAGAAACTTGCAGTTGAAGATCCCTATCGAGAGAGATCTTGTACAATTTCGAAGGTATCGAGGGATTCTAAGGAGAATGATACTTTCGAGAATTGAATACTTTCCTGTGTCGGTTCAATCTGATACAACGAAATGTTTGACATACGTATATTCGATTCACATCGACAAGGAACATGATTTCCATGATTTTCTCAGGAACGTGCAGTTAAACGTGTTCCAGTCCAGATGACACGAGTTCCGTCTCTTCCTTTATCCGCTTTTTCCGAGATCCGGCGAACTTGGACGAATTAGAAACGGTACCAAAAATTGGACCATTTTTCTCGGGTTCACTGGTGCTCCAAGTTTCCTGTTTCATCGATCGATACTTTAGCCAATACCCAAATTAATACCGACAGGCGTGTAAGTTTGGAGTAGAGTGGAAATTTGGATAAAAAAATTCGCAGTACTCGGTAGCAGTAAATTATTATTGTCTTTGCTAGAATTAAATAGACACCACGTGAATGTGTGAACGTACAGATTCATCATTATACCGAAGGTTCTTGCATTTATTAATGCACAGACACATAGTAGAGAAGAAATCTGTGTTACAACTGGTTTTCAGAATAAACCGTGCTATAATATCGCATGATTATGCGCGCCCACGGCAGTTGTTTATCGGCGTCAAGGCGAGAAAGGACCCTTCTTAATTTTTTCGTGGACCTGTTAGAACCACATTTTTTTTCTCTTGCGTGTTTGCATCGATGGAAAAATTTCTTTCTACACTTTCTACGTAATTTCATTGCAATCGATAAATGTGATAGTCTTCCTTCGATAAAAAGAAGCAACAAGTTCGCCTCTTTGTCGAATCTTCTATCGTGAGTGGTCGCAACAAAATGTGGTGGAAAAGTGTCCTACAAATTCCTGCGAGATTTTCAAGGAACGCTTGGAAAAATTGTCACACCGTGAGATATTTTTCCCAAGGGATCGAAGAAAATGGCAAGAACCGATTGAGCAGCGCTGAAAAATCGCCGAGAATACTTATCACGGGTTTGTATGTTCTTAAAAAACCAGTTAGTATCCTTGTTCTCAAACCAGTTATTTCTATCGCTACGATTTCAAAGTGAGTCAAACGCTTCGCGGTAAATTTGCATAAAATGTAATATTCATCGATCGCTCGTGCAGAATTTCAATGACAAAAACCTGCCTTTTCTTCGTACATCGCAAATGAAAATACTTTTCATTTTTACGAATACTATTTTTCTCCTATATTTTCATGAAGGTGGTCTCGGCCAATTGGGCACAGAATGCGCGAAGCTGCTTCGCAAAAAGTACGGAAGCGAGAACGTGATACTGTCTGATATAATCAAACCGACGGAAGAAAGTCTATCGAACGGACCGTTTATCTTCGCCGATATTCTCGACTTCAAAGGGTTGCAGAAGATCGTGGTGAATTACAGGATCGATTGGCTGATTCATTTCAGTGCTCTCCTTAGCGCGGTCGGTGAACAAAACGTTCCTCTGGCTGTCAGAGTCAATATAGAAGGTAAAACGACGTTTCGACATTTTAGAATGGGCTACGGGAACGTTTAGAGCGAAATGGAATGTCGTGCCAAGTGAATCTGTCGTTGCGACGATATAATTATATTGTTACCGCAGACATGAAAGAAACTGCGTTAGAGAAAGTAACTTTCTTGGATAGCATTGAACAAAATTAGTCCTTCTTTTTCTGTTCGTTTTTTCGCCAGGAATGCACAACGTTATCGAGCTAGCGAAACAGTATAAATTAAGGATATTCATTCCGTCAACGATCGGAGCATTTGGTCCGGACTCACCGAGGAATCCAACCCCGAATGTGACCATTCAACGACCACGAACGATTTATGGCGTTAGTAAAGTTCACGCTGAATTATTGGGCGAATACTATCATCACAGATTCGGTCTCGACTTCCGGTGTCTTCGATTTCCAGGAGTGATCAGCTGCGATCCACCTGGTGGCGGTACCACAGGTATATTTTTTCTTCTTCTTTTTTTGTTGATAAAAGAAGGAACGTTTTCTAGAAAAATAAGACTTCGTTGCAAGAACTGGAGCACGTTCCAAACATGACTAGAATAACTGCATAATAGTGCAATCTATCGTTCTTCAAGGACAATAGTATTAGTAAATTGTTAAGCGTCTCTTGGTCACGAACCGTGAGATCGCTTCTTGCGTTTCCCTTATCTCCTAATGCGTGAATCTTCAAATAAAAACCAAGTTATATAAATAAAAACTGTAGAGAATTTGATATTTTCTTCCGAAGACTATGCGGTCGCTGTTTTTCACGAGGGGATGGTTACTAGAAGGTACGAGTGTTACTTGGAACCTCATACGAGATTGCCGATGATATATATAGAGGATTGTCTGTCTGCTCTCTTTCAATTCTTGAACACTCCGAATCAACGATTACGAAGAAGGGTGTACAACGTCACTGCCATGAGTTTCACACCCGAGGAGTTGTTCAGTGAACTTAAAAAGCACGTTCCTGATTTGAAGATCTCGTACAAGCCGGATGGAAGGCAATACATCGGTTGGTGAATCATATTTTTGATTGATAATGTTAATCGATAATCTATGTAAAAGAAAAATGTTATTTCAATTTTAGCTGACAGTTGGCCACAAGTTTTCGACGACAGCGACGCGCGTCGAGATTGGGGATGGGAACACAAGTATAATTTAGAAAAACTCGTGGAATCGATGGTACACGATATGAAAAAGAATTTTTCAAGCAAAAGATCGTTAACAGAGGTCAACAGTTACGTATAATGTAATACCATTTAGGAAGAAACAATTAATTAATTAGACAAGTTAAAAAAACTATTATTTATTTTATACAATAAAAATAAGATACAAAATTTGGAAAATATATTTTGTACACTTCGTTTCACATATCTTCGCTCATCAACTCAGCGATCTCATCGTCGTTAAGATGATTTTCTATTCTCTTCGGAGTCGCTTTAACTGATTTCACCGGAGTCATCATACTCGTTCTGTCTATTCTTCTCATTGGTGTAGTAGGCGTTCTATCTGAACTTCTGGAAGGTGTAGCGATATTCCTTAAAGGTGTACCACTATTTCTATCGATTCTGTTAGGAGTACCTATTTTATCGCTTAATCTTCCACTTTGTGTAAGATTTTGTGAAGAACTTTGCGTCTGTCTTTCCTTGCCTTCAACTTCTAGATAACGAGATAAAAAAATCAGTTTATTTATTGAAATATATCCTATACTGTTTTAATACAAAATATTGTTGCACCTGTGGGACTATCTTTAGCCATTATATTTCGACTTTCTAGAAAATATCCGTTTGGATGAATAACAGGTTTCTCTGGCAAACGATTATTATGTAAAGCTTTAAAATATGTTGTGCATGCAATATTATAATGCCAATCCTTGGCCAATTCTGCTATTTCAGTGATGTCTGTAATATATGAATGTTAAATAGGTATAAAATGTCTTTATATTTTAAAAGCAAAGGAATAATATTCTTACTTGCTGCAGATAGGCCAAAACTGAATAATTTTTGTCTCAATGATTCATGATCCATGTGTTTGTATGGACAGCCATGATATTCTCCAGGACCTACAGAACTGGCTATAATTTTTGGACAACCCAGAGGAGTGTAGTTCGTTTGTTTGCCTTCTTTGCCATAAAGATGTCTTATAGCATAGCCATACTCTTTTTCAAATTTATCTACATCTAGTTTCTTTGTAAATTCTGTTTTCCAGAAATTCATAGAATCTTCCATTGTTACTCCTATACCTTTTAGGAATAAACCATACTGAATACGTCCACTATTCCTAAGATGATGGTTATTCTTAAGAGCTTCGTGTAATACCCTCATGCACATAGGATATGATGATTTTGATAACTGAAAATTATATAGTATTGTATAAAAATAAGATTGTAAAAAATAAATTAATTACCTCGTTCAACTTGTCTATAGGTGTAGTAGTAGTAGTCCATACAACACGTGTCATACCAGCAAAATAACCAGGTAAAGAATCAAGAAAAGATATTATTCTTTCATCATCACATACATTTGAGACAGAAAGTCTTGCATGCTATATAATGAAAGTACAATCAAATCTATTATAATTTTAAGCAACATTGGATAAATTAATGTAACAACAAACAAAATACTTACCGACATACCATTCTGCATATTTTTCCTAAAATGAGATACAAACACAGACACCAAGTCTGTATGCGGTACATATGCTATTCCCTGAGAAATATAAACCTTACGTGATTTAATTAGGTCTGTGACTTTTCTAAAAGGTACTTTATAAAATTCTACTATATCAACATTTGTAATTTTTGATGTGGATGAATGAAGTTCCTCCTTAAGTTCATCCTTTTCTTCTGGTGTAATCTTAGAAAAATGATAAAGATACAAGAAAAATAAATATGCATTCGATGAATAGCCAATTCATATCTTATTTCATTGATTTTATTTCTTACTTGTTGACAGTCAATTTTATGCATGCAAAGTAATTTCTCTACTCCTTCTTTATCTAGTGAACTAAATCTTAATTTAAAAAATTCTACTTCTTGATTAATAAACCACATCTGACGGTCTGTATCATGGCAAACTGATAATCTCAGTATAAAATGTGATATATGATCTTTTCTCCTATACTGTAAATCTGTCTCTGTAGGTGAATTGCATCCTTTTGCATGTAAAAGGTATGCAAAATG